ATAAACTCTTTACGTAGATAACACGTAAAAGACGCCTGATGTTTTTTAAATGATCAACAAGTTAAAGTAGTAGTTATTGGTTATTTATCGGCATTGTTTCAACTGTTGAGGATAGAGGCTTGTAGTGTCAAATGTGACTAAGAAATGGTCGCGAAAGGCAAGAATATGAAAGGAGGTGGTCGTAGTGTATTTCAGCGGACTGTCCTGACTGACATTCGTCTGGGGAGACTGAGTAAAATGATGGACATTAGTCAGGATCCCCGGAAAACTGGAAAAAGATGCTAACCGCGAGTTAAAATCCAGAGCGTTACTTCTACGTAGAGTTGGACGTTGTTCGCTACAGATGTTTATGGAGAATATGTTTGACGTTAGCCTTTTTAGCTTACCCCGATGGATCTTAATTCCGAAACATTTGTAACTAATTCGGAGTACAGTTTGGTGAACTACGTTTTTGGGACGATTTCAATAACAGTTGGGATTAATCTTGCGTTCGTGGCTGGGCGTATAAAAAGGCTGTGAAATTGTTATTCAGGGGTGTCAGAAGTTGAAATGTGGCAAAGAGATGTTGTCTTGGAAGTACCAAGGAAAATATTTAACCCAAGGAGGACGAATGTGTGAGCAATATCTGATAAGAACTTCATGTTTTACACTACACGTAATATTCTTAGGACAGTGAAATCTAGGAGGCGATGATGGGATGGGCATGTAACTTTGTTACGTAAAGATTTTGACTGTGAAAAATCTTTTTGGAAAGCGGCCACTGAGAAGACCGCGAAGGAGATGGGAGTACATTACGACATGTCTTATAGAGGTGGGTCGTGTGAAATGTTGGAACTGGTTTAGAATCGTGTCCAGAGGCAAGATTTAATATTAGCGGCTTTGAAATTTAGGGCTCGACTATGATAGTTTAATTATCTAATTAGTTAACGCAAATCGAAAACCCGGAGTTCCCCCTCCACGAACTTTAAACCACCTCTGATGTTGCCGTTAATTTGTTAGGGTCATGGCCAGTGATGGACTCGAAACTTTGGGTCTATTTGTTTTATTGTTCAGGTGAAACGATCTTCGGTTTCAGGAAGACATTATCCTGGTTTAAACAGGCTTTCGCTAACCCAGATAGCACCACTTTCGTTTTCTACTGCTCTCTCCCCCGCCCCACCGTTGGTAACCGGTCCCAACGAAAGTAAAATGTAGACGGTGAAATGTAATGTGAGAGTAAAATTGGACCAAGAATCTTAACTCGTGTGATACTGTAATTAGACTAGTTAATTGTTTTTTTTTTCCAAGTGCTCTTGAAATAATTTTACGCCTCGCAGAACAATAAAAGATATATTAAAAATAAAACGTCATTAAAGGCGTTTATTTTAATCTGAGTTGAAGGGAAAGTCTGATCGAACACACCAAAGCGTAGTGAAACTGAAACTGAATTCATTGCTTTGACGCGAAATTTGTTGCAATTTGATTTGTCAACCATGAAGTCAATAATTTCACGCTATAAAAGTAAAAAGTAAAGTTTGTCCCACTATACGCCATACAGACCGCTTGGGGGGAGAGACGGTATAGCTCCTCTCTTCCTTGACCTCGACACTAGATGGGGGGTGAGTGGTCAGCATCACGCCCCGGCCGGCTTTACCCCCGGTGCCCATTGGATAGGAGACTGGGTGGGTCCCAAAGCCGGTCTGGATGCAGAGGTTAGAAGAAAAATCTTCTGCCCCCGTTGGGGATCGAACCCCGGTCGTCCAGCCCGTAGTTATTCATTATACTGACTGAGCTATGCCGGTTGGCACTTTAGTAGGCTGAACGGTGCTGTTCCTTCCCGCCAAAAAGTCGCCGCCATTTTGGAGCGTCAAAGAGCTGTAATTTGATGTCATTGCGTGCTTTTCTATTTTGTGACCGCGTAGCTTAAAAACCAGCTACAAATTCTGAGAGAGAGAGCCTTACAATTGGGAAATGGGAGAAGTCTGTGCCAGATTTCAATGAATTTTAGTCTTAGCGTGAAATCATAACACCAGGAGAGTCTCGTCACTCTTGCACTGACATTTCATTTTTATTTTATGTAGGTTTAAAATGAAATCAAAACCTTTGCCTGTAACGTGGCTCTTATGAGATATGTAGAGCAGTAAACCTTCCTCGATTTTATTCTGATAGAAGTAACAAAGAAACACGTGTTTCGGCCCGAATACTGGTTATCCTCGGCTTGTCGTCGTTGTTTTCAGTCCCTCTAGGCAAGTATCGGAATGACACTATAAGTTACGTAAAGGTTCTTTCCTTCCATATCCTTTTTAAATTAATTTTTATCTTGTAATTCAAGGTTATATAGTGTGAGCTATTGACAGCGTATAAGTAAACATTGTTCAACAACTGAATCTTGTCTTTTTCTCCTGCCTGCTCGTCCAACAGACATTGTGCCATTTTGACTCACTGTGTACCAGACAACGTTTGTCTGTTGTTCTGGCTTTGTTTGCCAGGCTTAAGAAATTATGTCCCTCCAGGTTTTGGTTTAAACTATTCACGTCTTTGTATGTTCTGGGTAAGCAGCCTGAAGTTGAAGGTTAATAGGAAACATGAACTATTCGATAACATTAATATACCAACTCCTGTGAAGTGTTACTTATAATAATGGTTTTGTAAAGAACTCACTTGTTTAATTTTAATCGTCTAATCACAATAAAATATTTTATTAAATATTGAAATATTATTACTACAATTAACATTTAATATTTAAAATATATTAATATTTTCATTTTAATATTTAATAAAATATTTTATTGTGATTAGACGGTTAAAATTAAACAATTATAATCATCACAATATGACGCAACATTATCATCTTAAAGAACTCACTATTAACTTCATAATCTGTTTTAAATCATTTTTGAGATTCTATGAAATAATTCCCCCCTTTTACCACTGACGATGACCTCTTGAGGTCGAAACGCTTTTGGCATTAGTGTCATTTATAGTGTTAACAGTTTGTTTGCTTATTTTTATATTCGATAACACGTGACTTATTGTGGAGCAGGAACACCGTAAGTCAGTTTAACGACCACTTTAAGAAATATCATAAATAGACCTGCTCTCCGAGATTCGGTAGCCGGTTTATGTAGGAAAATAAATTTATCAGCAACACATATCACAATTTTAACGTCGTTATACTAGCGTAAAGAATTAGAATTTTCTATAATTATCTCCCAACTCGGTTGTTCAAAAGTAGTTTGAATGTATTATGATTACATTCGCTGTGCATTTAAACCAATGACTTGAGCGCCTCTGGTGTAAAACTCCAGTACTACTGTTGAATTTTACGAGAAATGAATTTATTGAAAGCCAGCTTGTGACTCAGGACAACTAGACGCCACAGTTTAGATTCTGGTGAACGCACCGGAATTATTACGCTGTGCGATCATTTCCCAAGCTGTTCCAGTGTTTCTGTACACGTGAAATATTTTGTCTGGATGTCTACTAACGGTGTCTCATAATTATGATAATCGATAAGTCTGTACCATCCTTACTTGGTCTATGATGTCAAATGAACCTCTTCATATAAAACTAACTTGTGTCATTTCATTACATCAATCCGTCCATTCAGGGGTGTTTTTATCCATGGGCAAAGAGCCCCCTGATTATAGGTGCCCACAACGATATAATTTCAGTCCATGTTATACTGTGGTTCGAAGAATTGCATCAGATGTTATGAAGCGTGCAGACACGCGAAGGACATACAAGTTGTTTGTGCGTAGCTACATTTGTCATTTAACATTTCCGGTTTGAATGTATAGAATGTTAAGTACTACATTTTATAAATAATTTAAAACCGAAATAACTTAGGTTATGTATTTTTTTTATTTCTTGTAACGCTTTTGTTTCTGTAAGTAATATTTTACTGGTAATAAATTGTTTTTGTAAGTAATATTTTACTGGTAATAAATTACAAGGTATACCATTGTCTTCAAGCCGTCTATCAAATAGCCCCACATTCCATACTGGGTCATGGTACTAACCCTGACCTCTGCAGGTTATACGTAGAGTTGCTCAATTTTAAGACAAATACGTAGTCAGTAGTTATAACTGAGAGGCTTATGAGATGTTGAAAGGTGTTTCTGAGAACGTTTTTTATATTGCCAGTCTCATATTAACATGGTTCCTTCTGTTTATATTAGCATACCTTTCTTTATTAACATGACCAATTTTCACGAGACTTTGTATGATAATTATCTATGCCATTACATTGTACATTTTGTTAGCGTCACTAAAACAAAGTGTTTGACGCGTGAATGTGGTATGGGAGCGATCCTGTTTAAGTTGGTATAAAAGTAAAGTAACTCGGTCTCGAGTATGTATAGCTCCTACTCATTCTTAAACTCGGCACTAGATGGGACTAGTGGTCAGCATCAGGCTCTGGCCACGCCTTGTCCCCGGGAAAGGACCTTGGTACCCATTGGTGATCCCCAGAACTGGTATAGACGCAGAGGCTAGAGGAAAAATCCTCTGTCCTCGTCAGGGATCGAACCCCAGTCGTCAAGCCTGTACTATACTGACTGAGCTATCCCGGAAATGATGTATCGTAATAGTTCTTTGAAAAATGTGCAACTTGTTTGTCTGTATCCGTGTCACGAACCTCAGAGGGTCTCGTTCTGCCTTCAAACAGCCCAAATTTAACCGTGAGTTTGTCAACATATCATCTTGTCCTCAATAATAAAGACAATATTTGAAAGAATTTAGAAACTGTACGCATTGCATACAAATTCTGAACCATTCTCCAGAATCTGACCTTTGGCCTTTAACCAAGATAATATAGTTATCATGGGAACAAAGATCGTTTAGTGATTATCCACCCAGTCACATCGGATCACAAAAAAAGGCTTGTAGGTCTTCATGTGAAGTGATATTCGTTGTTATTGTTATTCTATTTAGAACAAAACTGGTATGTTTCGAAAACATTTTGTGCAAGTCCCTGATAAAAAATGTTGTGAAAATGTGTTAAGTCGTTCTGAAGTTGCTTCATGCGCACAGACGAATGGATAGATGCGCAGAAGAGTAATTTTAATAGACGCTCCTTAAGGATCCGGATGCATCTAAAATAAACAAATAAATATAAATAGTAAAACAACGTAATTATCGTAAAGTGACTTCAAGATTGGTTAAAAGGTTTTCACTGTTTAAATTGTTCATAATGGACATGTGGACGCTGTTGGGAAGCAGAGAGTGACGTAATCATGTTAAAGGAGACAAAACTTGTAGTGTGCACCTGGACCTCCAGAAATGACGCTGCACTAATAAGAAAGAATGACATTGACTTCGTGTAGGATGGTACTCTGACCTGTTCAGTTCGAAAGCACAAATTTGGAGCTCAGAAGATTGATTAATTAATTTTAAATTTGGTGCCGTGGTCAATAAAGAGTATAAGCTATACCTCCGCTCCCTCCAAGTGCCTGCATAGGCATGTAGCGGGACGCTTTACTTTACTTACTTATGACACTTTTGGTATACAATCGAGGTTCATGGATTACGTCACAGCAATATTTACCACCAATTAATGATGTATCATGGTTACCAAGCGTTATGCATATGTCTTCGTAGTCCAAAGATTAGAACGAGATTATTGGCCGCTAGAATAACAGATCAAAGATTAGAACAAGACTTTATAATTGGTGAAGTGCCCACATTGCCGAAGGGTAGTGAAAAGCGGATTATAACAAAGACAAAAGCAGGATACGAACTTTTAAGGTAAGGTTATTAAAACGTGTTAACCGAATATACTCATTTCCGTAAGTGAGAAGTAATGACATTTGGATTTGGCTATTGAAGATAAAATTGAAACATATCGAGAAATTTAGAACATTACTTTTTTAATTATCCATGAGGAATAAAAGACGGTGAATTGAAGTCATAATAGGCTCATAATCTAGTTGAATAGCAAAAGAAGACTAAGAAGAAGAACAACAAACAAAAACATTGAATGGAACGCACCGCATCAGCTGGTTATGGTGACAATTGAAGATACAAAGATGAGCTAGGCAAAATATCGCAATTAGAAGACATGGAATCGAGTATGCACGGGCATTTTTTATTCCCGATTTTGTTAGGTGCTAGTGTTTGGATCTATTTTGGAAGGAAGAACATGAATTTGTTTTGTGTGAGTGTGATGTTAAATGTAGTACTTCATTGAAAGCTGTATGATAATATTTCGATATTTTCGTATTTAACATTAATTTAATGTTTACATATCATAACATCTTAAATTGGGCAATGTGAAATAATGTATTGTGCTTAATTTAATGCCATAACTAACACAGTGGAGGAGAGGTTTCTTGAATATAAGTCACTCATCTGGTCAAGACAGTTTCCTGCTTTTATGGAACCCATAGTAGTATTACTGTGTTCAGAGGAACCAGACACTGTTCCTGTTATGAGCAGGAAAATGCAGGTTGTGTCCTACCATTCTATGTTTAAAATATCTATTTTAATAGTATGCCTGTGCTAATTTAATGCCATATTTTATCAAAATGCACAAAGAAAGTTATGAGTAATAAAGGTTGTTAATTAATATATGAATATTTAAAGAAAACAAGTGGAATGCGTTAATCTATGTATTTTCATGCACTGAATTAAAATTACCATTAGAACTTTGCTGTTTTTTTTCAGAAATTCTGTTAAGTCACTAAAGACATTTTGTAATTTAATTGTTATATGCCACAACATGAGTTAATAAATCCATAAAAATATATGAATTAAGGTACATGAGAATGATGGTCACATACAGTGATAATATTCATGACAAAATTAAGAATAAATTGAAGTCCATACAATTTTTCTGTCAGAAGAAAGAAGAACATTTGAAAGTATTTGAAAACAGAGTAGAGAATATGTGACCTGACTAGGATAAATGGGAAATAGAGTGTTACGTTTTCGCCATATGTTTTGTAATCTTTTGACGATTTAATAAGGCAGGTTGAGATGGACTACGCATTCATTAAAGAGGATGTAAAAATGCAGAAACATTGTTTTTTCCCCACAAGGTTTACAAAATTGTAAATCTGATTGAGATTGACTGAACTAAGTAGTCATGACATGGTGTAGAAACATTCATTAATGATGCATGAATGTTAATAAATAAAGTTGAACAAAGACCAAAAAAAGATTTTTGAGGACAGAAAGCTTTATGTCCTCTTTTCAACTTTTCTGCTTGAAAACAGGAGAATCCAGCTCCTGATACATCATAGTTTTCTAATTTTTAACGATGGACAAAAGTCCAAAAGAACAGTTTTCATGATATAACACATGTGAAATTGTTTGTAAATTATTTATATCTACTTATAAAAAATGGACAAAAGACCAAAAGAACAGTTTACATGATATAACACATCATTATCTGAATACGTCAGACTTATTCTGAGTTGCTGTTTCATAATTATCTTACTGGTAATCAATAATAGGTAGACAGATGGATGGAATGAATACTTGAACATACTGTAGCAGTCACTTGTGGAAAAATAACTTGTATGAACCATTTTCTAAGCTGAGTAATGATGCATTTCAAAGTGAAATTGTATGTAAATTATTTATATCTACTTATAAAATCTAGGCTGTGCTATTTACATTCACTTTGTTAAATGTAATGCATTGCCTTGTTTCAGGTGTTTGTGACAGTGACAGGACAATGAGTCATTCTGATGTAAGTAACACTGGGAATATGCACGTTCATTTTCATTGTATTAAATGTCTCATTGATAAAACTTCCTGTGTAAGGTTACAGTTCAGTTTTTAACAAAAAGATTATTTATTTATTCTTTATGTAACACCACTATCAGTAACTTAGATATGTAGTATCAAATGATAAGACAATAAATAATTAAGTATAAATTATGCAATAGGGAGAGGTCATGGGACAATTTAATCTTTCGAGTTCTTGTTTACTATAAGCTGATCTTTTAAAATGCAGGTATACAAGCACAACTGTAATTTAAATAGCATCTGCGATAGTTTATATTCTGATATTGTCTGGATGATCTGAGGAAAACCACAAAAATGTAGTCAGTCTCTAGGCTGAGATTTGAACCTGCTAACTCCTGGATAAAAAGAAGGATTATTAATCACATGCCTGCAACATTCAGTACAAAAAAGTTCATAAGGAGGAATGTTGAGTCTGAATGTAGAGCTCTTCCTCTAAGAACCTCTGTATAACAAAGTGATGGGTCCCACAAAACAGTGTATTTATATAGACTTCTATTGTCAGTCTGTCTGCCAATTTGTTCATTTGAAGGTAAATAGGAAAGATTTCCCTGTGCTTGATTAAGCACCACACCATGAAGATGTGTGCTGAGGTGGCGATACAGTTGTAAACACGCTAGATTGAGGTTAGTGGTCAACTTTGTACCCCAGAAATTTTACCCATGAGGGAAGAGCCTGCAGTATTCTTTGGATCATTGGATAGACAGCTGGATGGGCCCAAGTGTTAGTCTGGATGCATACATATTTTAAATAAATAAATTCTGAACCCCTACTTGCAGATTTTAAAATATTGTGTTGGAATTTTGAATTATTATGAGTAATATAAATACTCTATACATTTTGGACATTTGACAGATTTCTGAAACATTTTCTGAAGTGTGATTCAGTCACTGTAAAGTACTGTATGGGGAGGTAGAGCTGCATACATTCTTAACAGTGGCAATAGTTGGAGGTGAGTGGTTGGTTTCGTGCTCTGGTCATTTTACTTCCCAAAGGTAATAGTTTTATACATCCACTTGTATGGAGGCTGGGTGGACCTTAGCCAGCGGTACTCA